CTCTTCATCAACCAAAAATAATTAAATAATGCATACTTCAATGAGCAATCAGCTGCAGCCTGCAGTGTGCATAATATACGTCTAGTAGGCTGTATAGCTCATCGTGTTCGTTTTCAAAACCATTAATATAAAAATTATAAACACTGCTTGTTGTCGGCGCCTCGAGGTAAAATGACTGTCCCGTGAGCCGCGACGGCTACGTTAAGATTTCAATTATATTTACTTAGCATTTACATGGCCCAGCTGGTTCTACAAATTCTAATGAAATAGCTGCAGGTATTCGCTGTTCAATATAGATACTTATTAGTTTTTGATAAAAGTAATTTGCCAACTAGTATGGACGTATAATTCGGAACTATACCATGGCAGATGTGACCGGTATACCTTCGGATATATTAATCTGCAGATGTTCGTCAGTCGTCCATGGACAATAATTAAATGAGTGTATGAAAACCATGATATTATAGGATAGAGGGTTGGGTATAACCGCCCCGTACAAATATATTAAAGTATAGGCATAGACGTGAGCACTAGCTAGGCTCGACCTGAAATTTTTAGGCGCATGGTAAAATGTGCGTGTATATTTTATGATAAAAATATGTTCGTAGAGATCATGGGAATTGTATTTGTCGTAGAAGTGTAATAAAAAATATAGATATTTGTGAGTACTACTACATATACATGATACATTTTATTCATCGAAAGCTTCTGGATCATTTAAATTTATTCATCAAAAATTTGACTTATTTTTGTACCTATTCAAACGAGTACGGTGGAGCAATCGGATTGCATTTTTAGCATATTATACCTACCTACATAGTCAAAATGTTCGGGCCCATTAGATTTTAATAAACAGGACTGGTAAAATATGTAATAATATATAAACACGCACATATTTTATGATACTTGTGTAATATATATATATTATGCATTTATGCCCAATGCCTACGTAACGACTGATGTATTAAAATATATGCCTATAGGTGGTACAGTCGTTTAAAATTATATAAATTAGTTTGAAACTAGAGAGGATCAACATAATCATAATCTATAATATAGTGGTAGTGTAGCCATCCCCCTCTCACCCATCACTTCGTGGCTTAATACAACTAGGCCTATGCCCTGTAGCAACGCTACATCATCATTCTTACATATTATGCAAATGATGAAGACATACTATATAGGTACGTATAATACGGCGTGCAGTATATAATGATCGTATACACTATACGAAATATAATAAACCTACCTATTTTAATATGCACGTTCGATTATATTGAGGTATAAATGTATAAAAAACACAAGTCGCACAAATAAATCGAATATCGCTAAAGAAAGTAGTAGAGCTTAACGTCTAAAGATATTTTAATAAATATTTATAATATTACGAAAATTGAACCTCTGTATTTTTAAACATTTTAAAATATTATAGGAGATTAAGAACAACTTATGAATTCAATTTCAAAGACTTGGATACTTGGAACTGAATATTTTTATCTACGGATTAATTGGGAGATTATATACGATATCTGTCTAAAGCTAATTAATACAAAAAAGTACACGATCAGAGAAAAATAATGACTTAAACGTTTTAATAATACAACCATGCTTATTACTTATATTTTTTGTTATATAGTTTACAAAAAATGTATGTTCCTGTGCTAGCTATATTTGCCTATCAGGTAATTTTAAACATGAACTCCGAAATAAGTTTCATACTTATTCTTAAGTTTAATTTAATTCATTTTGTAAGCAGAAAATAATTTATTCATTCATAATTGAGCTCCAGTTGAGTTGTTTTTTGAATACTACGATTTATCATCACTTTAAAATCTAAGATGAACACACCTCTAACAGACCCGTTCAAGTGAAGGTGGCCTATTCTAAACCTATTATACACGTGCAAAGTGTTCTCCACGTAGGATGAGCGTTTTTAATTATTTTTTTATATAGGTAGGTACAACATTTTTGTTTTAAATTAAAAAAAATAAAAACATGCACGACTATTCTTTTTTTATTTTATCAAATAATCGTTAATTTATTTTACTGACATTTCTTTTTGTAATGGCATATAATATATATATTATATATCTACTATTATATATATCTGAAACTTTTTTTTTCATAAGTTATTACTTATTTAAAAACACAATATCACTATGTTATAAAGATAAATGACGATATCCAAACAAAAATGAATAAAACCGGTTAATATTTGTGTAAACAATAAACATTTTTACATTTTATTATGTTAAATTTTATGTTTTATACTAATTTAAAACAGTGCATTGTATAATGTATTATGTTTATGTACCTATATAAATAAATATAATACATATTTAATTATACAAACAAAATAATAGTCAAAATCCAAAATGCAATTATACTAGTTTAAGATAAAGTCGAACAAATGAGTCGACTAAAACACTAATTATAACGTAATCAAATCAGATAAAATAATTATAATTTTTAATTAAATCATATAAATAAAATATGGTAGATTTGCGCATTGAGAGGACGTGACACCTGCATGTGTTGTCTGTCTTACAAGTGCGTATAACATAGCAAAATTTTACGCTCAGCAGAACATGTGTAGCTCCGTTAGTTTAAAAATTAGTGCTAATTGACCTCTTATAAAATCTAAAGGTAAGATTATTATCTAGTCAACCTCATAGGTTTTTTATTATATTTTAATTTTAACGCGAGTTATGAGTATTTCAAAATTGTAAATTTTTTATAAATCTTAAAATACTTATAACTCGCGTTAAAATTAAAATATAATAAAAAACCTATGGGGTTGACTAGATAATAATCTTACCTTTAGATTTTATAAGAGGTCAATTAGCACTAATTTTTAAACTAACGGAGCTACACGTGTTCTTCTGAGTATACGATTTTCTATGTTACGCACTTGTGAGACGGAGACAACACATGCGGGTATCACGTCCTCTTAAACAGAGGTGCCCATGACGGCATGACTTATCATTTATCAACATAATCTGAAAAAATCAACTATCAAGTAATAATATAAATATGAAAGCTTAGTAGGTAGTGACGGCTCAAGCTTTTTTACCAGTAAGACAAGACAATTTTAACACTATCCACGTATTTTATTTGTTCAGTAATGTGGTAGCCTCATTTAACCTAACATGGTTTCATTGTAAATTCATTCTGCAAAAATATGATACTATACTACAATAAAATACATATTTTTAGATTAACTTTTCATAATCATTATAATATAATCACTGCTATTTTTAGACTACTTAAGTCATAATCGTCATTAACAAATAACTATTATATAAAGGATATTTTAATAGCTTTAAACTATCTATTTGATTGTATAAATCTTTAAAAAATATAGGTAGGTACTAGGTAACTATATTAATGTTAACTATTAAGACTCAGGTTATTCAGACAAAGTTTCATTAGCAACTACCTATATATATTTAATCACTATCATCAATATTTAGATTGGAACAGATTTAGTAAGTATACCTAATAGGTACAAATTAAAATAAAGTTATTAAACAATTATATATTTATATACCTAAAGCATTTTGAGAGAACAATACATAAAGAAACATTACCTTCACAATACGCATTTGTAAGACTGAAGATAAAAGTATAAAATGCCTCTTGAAAACCTAAAAATCAAAATTCAATAAATTATAGCAGACAGCGGTATAATTACCAACCTGTCAAATCGAAATCATTAAATACATTTCTTAACCCTTATGTTTCCCACATTGTTTGGTATTGGCCATTGACCACATAAAGTGACATCAAATAGGTATTACACAGAAACTGATAAAAATATATCTTTTAAACAGTATTTGAAAAATAAAAAAAAACAAAGTTTTTGTATCCACCTGAAAAGTAGAAATTCTATTGTAATTTATAAATGCGTATTTGTATTAAAATACATATAACTGTTTGCTATCAAATGGCCTATATACGTCGTAGAAACCTATAAGGCCATAACTCTCGCTGATATACTTTACCTAATACATTAAGTGCATTTATTATTTATATTTTATTTAAGAAAACAATATTTGTGAGTGAAATATGTGATTTTGTTATACATAAGAAGGTGTTTAATGTTTATATACTCATATACAGTGTAGTGTGTAGGTACTTTTATTTAAATGTTCACCCCTTTTTTTATACGAACAATAACCTTTTGAACCTAGTACGATTTGAACAATACATTTTTATATTTTTAAATATCGTTATGTATACCTATATACGATATCTGTATAACCTATATACCGTGGTCCGTGATTTTTGTACACATATAATCGTGAATCATGCATTCACAGTATGTATATACCTACTTTGTAGGTGTACTTGCAGACTTCAACAGTATTGTAATTATTGTGTACACATCATCACAAAATTTATAATTCCGGCTTTGTACCTACAAAACATATTTTTATAGTACCTACATATATGTATAATATCGTATCCATAAACATTTAACATACCCACCAATCTACTTACTGCAACTTGTACGTCATATAATACAGACACACTCACATGGCGTTATTTTCTAACACAATATAATTATTGTCCTCGTTTCGAATACAATTACGTTTCTGCCTATAGATATATTATTTACCGTGACTGGAGCAATATTATTATAATGTTTAAACATTATAATAGGCACCTATGCGGTTTTCCCATTACGTAAATTAAGTCGATTATCATGTCCGACGCCGATGCGTATATCGTATATGTATAATTATTGTACAAATAATATTATCGTCACATGAGCGCATTTAGTAAAAATACAAACCCGTACCCGAAAATTCGACCAAGAGGACAATCTATAATTTAAATATATATGAGCGACAATACTGTATAAATTTGAGTGGACGCCGCTTAAAAGACTCACTTTAGGACTAGCACAAAGTGAGTCTTAATCGAATGAATCTTACAGGTAAAGCGGGGAAAACACAAAAAAACTGTAATCGTACCTAATATTGTAAATTATTTTTAAGTTTTTAATGCATGCATATATCCTATTTTTGCACGCACAATATAGTGCACACGTGGTTATTTTAGTGCATCAAATCCACAGCCTTAATAATTATAATAGGTATAGAATTTAACTGCAGTTTATGCACACTGCACACGCGTCAGATAATATATCAATTATAAGACACTAATAATAATAGTACAGTGAACTGCAGCTGAACCCTCGGGTATTATACCATTATAGATCCATGGTACTATACCTAGGTGATATAATAACCTAATTAAAATTATTGAGTCGATGATCTCTTTTCAGAGGCGATCGTTAACAGGAGATACATAATAAATGATTTGACTTTGAAAACAACAACAACAATAATGAAACGCAGTGCAGCTGTTGCGGCAATAGCGGCGATTGCGTTACTGCAGGTGGTCGCGTTACTGCGAGTGGCCGTGGCGGCCGCAGGCGGCCCGTCGTCGATACGACGTCGATTGCGGGACATAACGCTAGACGACGAGGCCCACCGGGACCGGCTGGACCGTCTGGCCAGGTCCGTCAACAAGATGATCGACGAGTACCTGGGCACCAGGTCAGTGGTGATGTTCGCGGAAGAGGTGCGCCGCAGTGAGCTGGGCCAGCGGCTGCTGGTGGACATGAACCACCCCAGGCTCCTGGTGCAGTTGGCGGCGGCCACCGACGCACGGCTGGCCAACGGGCTCGTCGTTTACCTACAACGCGGCCAGGCGCAGCGACACCGGGACGGCCGGTCGACCGACTACGATGCGGTGCTGGGCCGGTTGCCGCCCAGCGACCACTCGCGGCACATGGTACTGTGGGACGTCACGCCGCAGCCAGGCGACCGTGTCGACCTGCACCGCATCCAAATGCTGTTCGAAGCTTTCTGGCACTATCAGCTCGTCGACGTGGCTGTCCTGGTGCCCATGTCCACTGGCAGCATACGCGTGTACGTGTTTAACCCGTACACGGGGTCCCGGTGCAACGGGGCTGGTCCGCCGATCATGGTCAACGTCTGGAGCGGCTGGACGGACGCGTTTCTCAAACCTGACAAAGTGTTCGGCATGGAGAACAAGCTGAAAGACTTGCACAAGTAATGATAATATTATGTGCTTAGATAACTTTGATAGACCTACCTATGTATTATATTATTGCCAATTACACTGCTATATTATAGTTGAGTCTCGACAAATGACACAACTCGAATCTCGAGGGGAATAAAAATAAATTCGATTTGGGTATGAATTTTTTGAGAAACATATACCTCGAGCCAGTGGCCCCATGAACTTTTTTTTGCTATGAAGCAACTACCTTAAATAAGCACCTACCCACATACCAATTTTTCGCATTTTACACTTATTTTTGCACACATTTTAAAAGTAGATCATATGTAACTATGCGATTATAAATTGTAAAGTAGCCTTGCAGTCTAGGTCTTGGATACTGGAGTCATGCAATGGGGGCACCCACCTACACATTTGCATGAGGCAACTGCCTATTTACGCCGCCACTGCCTCAAGCACATTTAGGTATTATATAAACACACTTTGAGCGGCAAAACAAAAATCAAGTTATGAAGTTTTTCTAAATATTGAGGTTCAAATTATCGCAAATCCATTATATATGCATTTATAGCTACCTATTATACCTAGCTACACATAACGTATCTAGCTGGGGGCGTCGTTCAGAACAGCACACTTACCATTCATACAACCACACATTTTGTCTTTTGTTAAAAAAATAATAATACATTTTACTCTACCATTTCTGAAATTAAAGTGGACTTTTTTTTTTCTTAGCTCTACAAGCCATTTAGGCTTTTTGCTGCTGAAACTAAATCTTTCCATTTCCCTCTGTCCTTTGCCATATCCCAGTTTATTTCTCTTGATTGCATAAGTTCCATCATTGTACCCCGTACACTGTCCATCCATCTTCGACGTGGTTTCCCTCGTGGTCTCGTAAATCGTTCCTTCCATTTCTTCGCTTAAGACTCTCTTCAGTAGTCTCCCATCTGCTCGCCAAACATGCCCCATCCATTCTAGTCTCGTGCTCCTAACGAACTGAACTACGTTTTCTCTTTTAAACAGCGCCCTTAATTCATTGTTTGATCTTATTTTCCATTTCTGTTCTACTTGTCACTTGACTATATATTGAGCCATGTATTTTCCTTAGTATCTTTCTTTCGAATCTTGGTAGTTTCTCTTCATCATCTTTCGTTGTTGCCCAAGTGGCACATGCATATGAAAGGACTGGTCTCACATAGCTGATATATAGTTGTTCTTTTGTTTTTTTTTTGATATTAATTTTGATCTAAATAGGTTTGCTAGAGCAAAGTAGCATATGTTTGCCGCGGCTAGTCTTATATGTTTATTTCTCCATGCATGTTATTTTGCTTGTCTAATGTCATTCATAAATATTTAAAATCTCTTATCTGCTCTATTTGGCTATTGCCTATTAACTATAGTTATGTCTCTTAGAGTTCCTACTTTTCTGGTCATTGTCATGTGTTTTGTTTTTTTCGTGTTAATTCTTAGTCCGATACTTTCCCCTGCTTTCATCATTTCTATCTATCATGCTCCTTTTCACTTCTTCTTGTGTTTTTCCTATAATCATAATATCATCCGCGTATGCTAGAATTATATTTCCATCTTTTAATGTTAGATCTTCTGTTCGCGGTACTTTTCGTATCACACTTTCTAGTGCGAGGTTGAATAATACCGGCGACATAGCATCCCCTTGGAGTAGACTATTTTCAATTTTAAAAGTGTGTGATGATATATTCTTAAACTTTATCCTGCTATAGGTATCTGCGTTGCACATTTGTATCAGTATGATTAACTTTTTTGGCAAGGATGCAAAGTGGACTTACCTATATTAAAAATTTAAAGGTAAGAACTAAGAATATTATCTAGGTCACCTTGGAGGATCTTATTGATATTATTTTTAAAGAAGTTAAGACCATTTAATTTAAAAAATTTAAACTGTACCTTTTTGATAATTTAAAAACGATTATATATGAGGTATAGCTTACTTAAAAATAACATCAATAAAATCCTCTGAGAAGCTCTAGATAATATTTTTGCTCTAAATTGTATAATAGGTAATTTCACTCTAATTTTAGAAATTACAGAGTAAAATGTGTTATTGTGGACTTAAAATTTGCCATGTTGTACGGTTGTAAAATGGAGACAACAAATGGCCGTGTTGCGTTCTTTATGAAAAAAACTAATGTTTTGATTGGAATAAATCTGTGGATAATCTCGAAAGTTGTATTTATTTTATTATTTTGTTATTTTGATTTAACTGGTGTGCCTTTTTAAACGATAGTGCGATTTTAGATAAAATGTTCAATATTGATAAATATCAATGTGTGCGGTATTGAATGGTTTAATTTTGGGCAAACTGTGTGGAATTGCTGCATACAAGTGTGCGGTTATGACGACCGCAGCTAGCTGGGTATTATCATTGATTATAAATACTAAAAGTATTTAATATAATCAATTGTACTATTATTAATGATGCTCCGCAAGTCTCTGTCTTATGCTCAGTAACATATAAAAAAAAATAAAAATGTCCAGATGTTTTTTTCTCAACTTATAATTTGCCATTTTCATGATTTTTAATACCCAGTTTTGAAGATCAAAATATGCTCTTTTTCTTAAAAATCTAAGTGACATAAACATCACTTGATATAACTAATTTCTATCCCCTTCCTATACTATACCTATTTACGTTCAGTTGTGTACACATGTTGAACCTCCACCCCCTAATAATTTTTTTAATTCGTGTACAGATGATTTAAATTTAAAAAAATATTTTGATACATTATGTATTATAACTTTTTTCGATAAGCCCTCCCATTGAAAATATCTATATGCACCACTGCATACTTCTGTATTTGCTTGTATATACCTATAGTTATATTTATATATTATAGTCTATGCCATTGTATACCATCGTAAATCATTCAAGTGGGGTTAGGTACAACAATATATAGTACCTACCTACATTCAATAGGTATAATACTTTGTTTTTATTTATTTAATTTTAATTTTTGATGAACTTGATCTTTATTTTATATGTTAATTATTGTTTCAAAGTTGACATACGTTTCAATAAGAAACTAGGGTTAAAAAAAATCAATATCAAATAGCTGAATATAGAAGTACGAGGTACCCTCATACCTACTTACGAACAAGCAGATAAATAATAAATATTTTCTTGTTACTTTACAGGTCTCTTCTTATTCTTTAATTTATATGTATATATAATTTTACATGTTATACTTTTTTAGATGTCCGTTGAAATGCTTGGGCATACACAGACCACCCGTGTCGACAGTGGTTCAAACGGAGAAAGGCTTCCAGTTGTCGGGGTCAGGTTTGCGCATCATCAACTTCATGCAGGCGTACATGAACTTCACCGGTATCGTGGCTATAGCTTACGGCCATTCGGGGGTTAATTTCATGCCCAATACGGCGGCCACTCCTGACAACGATAGTTCGCCGGTCGGCATGAAGGTGAAACAGAGAAAGGTGGACTTGGCATTCGGCCGGTTCACGAGGATTTTCGATAGCGAGTCCGAGGTGGAGTTTGTCAAGGAAGACCAGATGGAATGCTTCACTTGGGGCTTGCCCAGCGGCATCGGTCACGACCCGACGCTGTGGATCAACTACGTAGCTGAATTCTCACTAGTCACCTGGATATTGATCATATTGAGTATAATATTGGCGTTCGGCGTTATCGTCGCACTCTCGCAGCTGACGTCCGCACTGCAAAGACCGGGGGTTACGGTCCCATGGAGCCCACTGTCCATTCTGTTCTACACGTATGGCACGTTCATCAGCGCCCCAATCAAGGTCACGCCAAAATCGTGCGCATTGCAGATGTTTCTGTCCAACTGGCTGCTGTACAGCCTGGTGGTGACGAGCGCGTACCAGGCGTATTTGGGCAGTCTGATCACCATACCGCAAACGACTCCCGAAATCAACGACCAGCACACGCTGTTGAAGACCAATTTGAACTTGGTGGGCAGACAAGACATGTACTATCTGATCAACTCGTCGGCGGGCTCCAGCAACGATTTCAAAGAGCTGGTTGACCGCTATCAGATATTGCCGCCCGAAGACTTCGGTCACTTCGTACAGAGGATACTGTTGAAGAGGGACACGGCCGTCCTGGCGTCCAAACGCGAACTGATATTTTACGCGCAAAGGTACAAGACGATTTTCAACGACTCGAGACACCTACACGTATTGCCCAAGTGCGTGATCGAATCGTACTCGTCGACATTTATGCTTCGAAAGGGATCGCCGTTTCTGCATAGAATTAGCACCATTATGTCGCAACTCTCGGAGACGGGCATCATGCAGCAATGGGATCGTGCGAACCTCAGAGAAGAACTGGTACACGGTATTGTGTTTACTGAGGACACAATTCTTTCCATGTCGCAATTTTATGGGGCGTTTGTGGTTTTGTTTTTTGGATTGTTTATGGGCTTATGTGCATTTATTGGCGAAATCAGTGTGTACCTTATAAATACATTTTGTCTAAGACATACGAAGCAAATTGTGTTCTTAAACTGACTACAAGACATAAAAAAAAACTAGATGTTTGATTTACATACTTTAATAACAACATACTTCGAACAAATAATACAAAATTAGCTGTACTCTAGCTGTTAAATTAATTAATAAACATTTTGTATTAGATTCTGCTGACAAATAAATTGCAAGCTAACAACAATCCTATGATTAAAAACAAAAATGTATTCAATTAGAGAACTTCACATTATATTGATGCATTATTGCCATCCACATGAGATCGTAAGCTCTCTGAAGCATAAGCTAAAAGGGTCTGAGCAGCTTGTTGTGTTGCTAAATAATCACGTGTTTCACTTATCCAATCAGATGCTATAATTTTAGCACCTCCCTTTAATAAATGCATATACTGCAAGGCCCGATAATAATTGTCTCGTTCTACCCAATACCTAAAGAAAAAATATAGTAAAATTACAAAATGTTTTAATATTAAATAATAATATAATTATAATTACCTGGCTCGTTGAAGAATATCAATATTATTTAATTCATTAACATTAATAGGTTCATTGTTTAATTCTTCTTCAGTAATTGGTACAGGCGATTTAAAGGTGAAAATTGTAAACACAAATGATGTTACCAAGTCAAATAATTTTACATTGGTATCTGGCACTAGAGCCATGTGAAAAGCCTTATCTTCAACATTAAGAAATCTGTCTTTTAATGTTTCTTCTGTATAAACGCCTCGAGTTAACACTCGTTCAGGTATTGTATTCAACAGTTCTTTTATTACTACATGGTTTTCTAAATTAAAATAATAAATTTCAACATTGTTATATATTTTGTGTTTAAATATTCATACATACCACCTCCTGATTTTTTAATATTATTTACAAGTTCTTGTAAAGGTATTAATTCATGTTTTGAATCATTTTGATCAGTATCAATTGCAGCAAACAATGACTGACAGGCTGTCCATAAATAAAATGACTCATTAAGTTTATCTCGTTTGTTTGAATGCTCTGGAACAATAAACAAATATAAAAATATAATTTAAGAATATTATGATTTGTCTAAAACATTGTTCAATAAATGTATATAAAACTTAAGAATCTCAATAGATACAAATTACAAATTGTTATTTTTATACATAATTTTAGTTTGGTGAAAATAATATATAATTCCGCCAAGTGAAAATTTTTTATATTTAAATGTAACCCATTCAGTCAAACATAGACTTACGCACACGTAACATCCAACGCTCCATCCGATAACACAATACTTCCCCCACCTGAATCTGCAGGCTCCTGACTTTAAGAAAATAATGTCAAGGTTCATATATGACCTTAAGTTTCTCATAAATCCATTAATATCCTTTCTCACTAAAGTAATTTCTTGCTTACTTGATAAAAATGCCAAATAACAATCATAACAATAACTCTGTCACAGACAACTCTCTACTTATAAAATGGGTAACTGGTTACAAGTTAAAATTACAGTAACTTAGTTACATTTAAAATTAAACATTTTTATACTTAATTAATGAGATCACAGGGCCTCACTGAGAAAAGCTCGTGTTTACTTAATAATTTGTTTATTTCTTCAAGAAAATAATGACACACTTAAATATTTGCTTATATAAGGGGTCCATGAGCAAAAATGTTTAAGTCTTAATTATAAATAAAATTTAAAAGTATTAATTTTGAAATTAATTACAACAGTTAGGTGAATAATATTAGTAATGTTTATTGGATACAACTATGAACTAAGTACCTTTTACGGCATCATTTATGCCATTCATAACAGCAATCATGCTCAAAACTTGTTCCTTATATTTAAGCTTTTCGGTTTCAGCTTTTTCAGAGTATTCCAAATTTACACGGCGTTCAACTTCCTTTTCAGCTAAATTAGCAGCTTCTTTTAAGTGATCTATATGCACTTCAGTTTGAAATCTCAATTGTTCCTTGAATTTTGCCTCACTATTTGCCTTTGATCCAAAGCTCTAAAAAAAAATTAATTTGTGAACATATAGGTAACACAGAATTAAGCAACTCTTTACTTCTTTGATAAAATTATTCATGTGCTTTCTACGATTTTTTTCTACTTGAAATCCCAAGACTTTATCAATGGCTTCAGGAGTACCATTTTTTAATGCACGAACAACATCATTTACTTGTTCTTCACCAAATATCTAAGGAAATATATTATAACCTTATCAGTTAGGAATTATTAAAAAATTGAAACATTCAGCACTGTACTTTTTTACATAACTTAATTTTAAGTGTTAATGATATTCTTACTTATTATTTGAACTAAGTACTCAGAGTACATAAAGTTGTCTAAAAATAGCTAAAATAAATAACACATTGCCTAACAAAACAATCACTAGCTTTTAATATATAAGAAAAGAACAAGAATTAATAAAATTAAAATAATATATATATTTACTTCTTGTTTAAACAATTCATTTTGATAATACAGTAATTTTTGGGTTATGTAATCAACAAACACATTAAATTCTGCATCTGTTAATTTCATATTTTTATCATCGAGTCTTACATGAGGAAATAATGATTGTAACTCTTCCTGAAAATTATCAATGTAATCAATAAGAACAGTATTAGATTTATTATGCACAGTGTGATCACCCTAAAAGGTGTTATTAGTTTCACGTGACCAGTGTGGGTTAGTGTCATCCCAGAATCGATGATTTTGTTTATTCATTTTACCATACACCATTGTTAGTAAATTTTGATTCATCACTCCAAAGAAAACGATTGACAATTAAAGAGCTATAATGAAACTGAATATTAAACCAAGCTATAAATTCTAATCTACGAGTAGAATCTCCTGCACGCAAATGTTGGACAAAATCACATTTATATGGGTGCATTTTGTGTTTTTTTAGAAATGTTTAGACAAAACCATATGAAACTCCAATTTCGCGAGCAATATGCCTAATTGATGAATGTTGATTAGCTTGTATGTATGCTAGTACCTGTAATTCTGTATCTTCATTAAATACTGTTGGTTGATTTGTCTGCCAGGAAATCTCCCTTCTTGATTTAACTCTTGTAAAAGTCGTAAGATATAATTATGAGATGGATGGTATCTTTCTGGGAATCGTTCGGAATACGTCCTAGCAGCATAGGTTAGGTTAGGTACATTAAGTTGGCATTCGCCATAAATTAACAACAACTCTACTTTTTCAGCGTTATTCATATTTAAACAATAATAAAATTATAAAAACACTTAATAACCAAATATTACACGAATATCACATAAACTTTGGTATGGGTCTAATTAAAGAATAAAACCAAAATGATCTTTTTCTTAAAACCAAATATCTTAATAGTTACATTATATGATTATCTTATCGTTATTAGAACTATTGAAAAATAAAATGAAATTTCACTTTAAAAATAGTTAAAATTGTAATCGTATTATAGCAGTTTACTAAACAAAAATTATATCACACAGGTACTCGAGATATCCGTAAGGACGACGTACGATATTATTAAATTATTATTTATAAACAGATAAGGTAATTAAGTATTAATTTGGCACTGTTTTTTTTTTATTTCCAGTAGTTATAAGTGAACATTTTATTTAAAATTATGGAAATTATATAAATTATGCAAAACTCAAATGTCGACTTCTATAACTTTGTCAGTTTTGTAAATAGAAAAAAACATTTTTAAAAAAATAATCTATCTCCGGATATGTAGAAAAAAAGTAGTGTTTCCATTTAAAAAAAATGTAAGTTGTAAGTTGCATGCGCACACTATAAGTGTTAAAAATTTGAACATCATAAATAAATGTGCATTTAAGTACTACCTTTCATTCAGTGAAAACCCCATTTCAATACAAGGTCATCGTTCTGAAATATTTAGTGGTACCTCTTAGGGTGATCACACTGTGCATAATAAATCTAATACTGTTCTGTATATTAGAGCAAGAAAATTATATTATAATGAACAGTATATTTCAGAAAATTGATTTACTTACTGAGAATTGTTTCCTAATATTGATAACTTGTCCATTATGTTTATTAAATAGTAATAAGTCATCCTTTTGACTTTCAAAATTTTTTTCCAAAGTTTTGATCTCCATTTTAAATTTCATAATATTATTTTTTATAGTTTCTTTTTCTTCATTTGTTACATTATGTTTAGAATCATCTAATGAATATTGTATTTGATCTAAACGCTTCCTAATTAATTACAAGACCAATACAATTTTAGTAAATATAATACCAAGGTTATTACATAATTACCTAGCTTCTTGAGCATTTACTTTAGCAGTTTGAAAAAGTTCATCTTTTTCCAGACTGACTTTTTGTAATTTTTTCAAAAAGCCAGAATTGTGTTTATGAGAAACATCATTAACAGTCCCATTTACTAGTTCATAATAGTCTACAAATAAAGTTTCATAAAGGATAAGACTTCTAGAATCATAGTCATAAAAAATAATAGTACAAATATAATATGTGAAAAAAATTATTAATAAAATGTTGCGTTGCCAATTAAGTACTCCAAACAGAGTTCTAAAACTTTAAAGTTATTTAAAATACCTTTAAAAAAGAAAAATCAAAAACTTTTTTAAATCACTTCCAAGATCAAGTGTGAGGTAAAGTCTTTGGTATATTTAGAAAGTATCTGAAATCCACTTAAATAATAAAATACATTGATATTAATCACTCACTTTTTAATGCATCTAATGCTTCAGAATACGAATTTGAAACTTCTTTAATTATTAGAGTTGCCTCACTTCTTATTATTGAAAAGTCAGATGTTTCGTTTTCAGTATTTTTTCCTAAAATGTTATTTTTCCCAGTTAATTCCTTGTCTAGTTGAAAAATGTTTATGTAAATATAAAATGATAAGTTAAAAGTTAAATAAAATACCACACATTTGTTAAAACAATTAAAAAAATAATTTACCTATAGGTTTGTCTGTCTTCGCGGAAATTATTTGTGATTCTTTAGGTTCAAGTTTTGAAGGTGTTGATTTTTTAACATTTATATCATGATTAATAGTTGGAGGAACTAGTCTAAAAATAATAACCATTTAAATCAATGTTAAATATTATACACATATTTTAAACTCTATAAGTATACCTATCTATTATTAACTTAGATTAAAATACATTACTAACTTAAGAGTAGGAAATACAAAAATAGATTTATGTTTTTATAAGCTAAGTTTTTCTCAAATACCTATTTACCTATTAGTCTCCATTTTTGATCGTAGATAAACCTGACTAATAAGTTACCTATAATTTTTC